GCCGATAGCACGAGACATGTGAGAACAGCTACCAAAGCGCATGATACAGAATTAAATATTCCTTTCTGGAATTTTAATACAGGATGAGTCTCTCTTGAAGTTTCCAATACTTGAACGAATGCAAAAATCTAAAGGTCTATTAGCAAAAAGCTTGACATGTGATCCTACAACATTTTAAGCTTACCCAAGATACGAACAATAGCCAAATATGCGTAAAAGCCCAATGCGAAAACTCGTTCTTCACGACTGTGGCAAAAACAGCCAATCCAAACGAAGCCAAAAGTCCCACAATGAGAGAAGTGAAGATGATCACGAATTGACGTTTAGTGGAATACTTTGCCATGGATTCTTCCGTAGCCACCCCATCTTTGTCTTCGTAGAGAACTTCATGATTGGTCACTCTTGGTGATTTGAAGTTCCTAATGAATCGCCATGCAGTTGGGATTGTGAACAGTCCAATGAGTATAGGAGCCGCATTAGACAGCTCATTAATATAAGAAACCATCCGTCAATCCACCTAGATTTGATGATAGAATTCAGTCTTCATCAGGGAGTGTTTGCAGATGTTTGCAGATGTCTGGAGATTTGAGGCCTTGGGTGTGATTTTATATGGAGGCGGTGTGAAGTTAGGCACCCGTGTTGATGACCCGAATTTGCCGCAGGTGAGATTTGCGAAATAAAAAGGAGAGGGCGGTATGAATGATGATTTGATGAGTGTAATGCGATGTGGGTGATGAATTTACTTGATGATTACCTAGGTAGTATTGATTACTTGCATAATGTGGTTTGTTGAAAATATACATGAATCCTTCAATCTTTCCCACGGACGGACTTAAGTTGTGACTGTCTCCCTCCGACATCCCGACTTTCCGGTGAAGTATCACGTGACTGGGTACTATCATCCGATCTGCTCCATTAATCTTGAAGATAAACCAATCAGGCCGCAGTACCTTGTGAGCGTTGCACGATTATCATTGTGTCAATGGCATGAGTGGCTCAGTGGTTGATATCGACATTGACATTGGACATTGATTGGACAATATTTGCTATCTGTCGTGGGAGAGCAAAGAATACCTACATCGTTGGATACCTACATGGTGTACTGGTACTTCTTTAATCGTCTAGTCCTTTTGGGACAAGAAGGTAAGAAAGATATGGATGCATTCATGCACCTAGAAACCCCGCAGTGGTGATATGTTCTCCAACATGTTATCATATGTGAAAGGACGGCAAATCAACTCTATTTGAATTCACATTTGAAATAATAGTAGCGTTTCTGCGAAACACTTGATATCTTATTAACAGACAGTGTTTCATTGATTGCGAGATGTCTTCAACTGCAAGACTGCAATCGGTACCAAAAGATGGTAATTGGCATGGTCGAATTGAAGTAGGAGGGGAGTTCCCTCCCGAAACGGATCGATACCATTTATACATTGGTAAATAATTCCTCGGCCCCTCTTCATCTGTGGATCTGTCTGACAGGTTCTTCAATAGGACTTTTCTGTCCATTTGCCCATCGAGTAAACCTCATTCGACATCTCAAAGGTCTCACTTCCATTCTCCCTATATCCATCGTCAAACCTTATCCAAAGGGTGACGATAAAGGATGGCCCGGCTGGAAATTCGCAACAGAAACCGATCCTTACCCTGGCGCAACTGGAGATCATCTCTTTCATTCCAAATATCTCCATCAGGTATACTTCCGGTCTCAAAAAGATTACAAAGGGAAATTCTCCGTGCCCGTTCTGTGGGATAAGAAGACAAATCAAATCGTTTGCAACGAAAGCTTGGAGATCCTGCGGAATCTGAATACAGGATTCGACAGCATATTGGATGATGAATATAAGAATTTGAATTTCTATCCCGAGAATTTGGCCGCCGAAATCGATGAAATGGGAGAATGGATGCAAAACGAAATCAATACCGGAGTATATAAGGCCGGATTTGCGCCAAACCAAGAAACTTATGACAAAAATGTTGTGCCACTTTTCAAAGCTCTTAATCGAATAGAGGAAATCATCAAAAAGAATGGAGGTCCATATGTTTTGGGCTCAGAAATGACAGAATTGGATTTGAGGTTGTATCCAACAATTTGTCGCTTCGATGCCGTGTATGTGCAACATTTCAAGTGTAACCTTGGAACAATTCGGCACGATTATCCAGTATTAAATGCTTGGTTGAAACATTTGTATTGGGAAGTAAAGGGGTTTAAGGAATCTACGGATTTCAAACATATTAAGGAAAATGTGAGGATCTCGTATATTTTGGATGACCAGAGACTGACAATAACTAGTACACGAAGAGTCATGCAGACATCAATCCAAAGGCCATCACACCGATGGGTCCTATCCCTAATATTGAGCGTGGAGTAGATGACGATTGGAGTAAATTGGTAGCAGGTAGGGTCGAATTGGAATAAGAAATGAAATATTTAGTGCTTGGGAATTCTTGGTTATGTACGTCGTCCCCCAAAGCATCGACTTCCCCAGAAAATTGTCTCCTAGATCAATGATACTATCTTCTCAAAAGTTTGAAGAGCCCTTTCCGTGATAAAAATGAAGTCCGGTGCATCCTTGGTGGTCATGATTGTGATTGTTTCGCTACTCATCACCCTTCATTTGCTGTTTTGTCAGCTTGAACTCATAGTTGGGACGTTCGATGGCAGTAACAAGACTCTATGAATTGATTGTAACAAGTGCATATCAGTAACACATCTCTACTATTCTCCCAAAAGACACCCGAGCAGCCCCCCTCCCTTCCCCCAAATCCCAAGGCTCTCATTTGTGATCAATGTTTAAGTGACATATGTTGAGGTCAATGCAAGCGGCAAGACTTCATATGAGATAGACCGCCATGTGATAGACCGCAATGTGATGGACCGCCCAACTCTTATGCAAATAGCAACTCATCAGTTATATGTGGATGCTTGAGCTGAGTCTTGTATGTCTTAATGACCAAATTATCTCTATCACAACACCGACGGCAAGGTCCACACTTCAGTGAAGAATAAAATGCTTCCAGTGCTCAACATCCCATGGAATAGTCGCAGTGGAACAGAGTCGTCTGAATACCTACCTAGTAAGTACTTAGATGAACTCTCAGCCCCCACATCTCTTGTTAATATCCCCTCCCCTCACCTCTTCCTCCATCAAATAAGCAATAGGTGAGATGGCCGAGTTGGTCTAAGGCGCCAGGTTAAGGTGATTAACTCTTAACAAACGGTTGTTTACAATCTCCTGGTCTAGTAATAGGCGTGGGTTCGAATCCCACTCTCATCATTAACTTTTTGCATTTTTGAAGGAATTTGATTCCTCTGATACACTTTTCTATTTGACTTTTTGGTAGGATGGATGATTTCCGAATCTCAAAAGTGAGGAATAAGAAGGAAATTTTTTCACATGTGTGGATCTGCGTGAAAAAATTTGAGTAGCGCTAGTGAAATTGGAATTGGTGGGGATTATTTTGGTGCTAGGGGGGGAGTGGGCGGAAGCGGAGTGGGGTGGGAGAGGGAACGTCAACTCTTGATTCAGAATTCGAGAATGAGATTTTGGTTAAATTTGTCTCTATAATTTATATCATATATAATTCTGTGCCATGAAATTTCAGGTTATCATACTTCGGCGATGACTCTTCACCGGCTTGGGTATGCTCTGAAATCATGAATTTCAAATCTAAAATGCGAAATGTGAAACCTGCGTCCGGAGGGCCTCCCGACTTTTTTCTACACGGATCGGGATCTGCAATACTTTATCGGAATGGAAGGGATCTATCTCTGTGTATGAGTTCTATGGGAAAGAAGTAATGAAATGTTTGATATTTTGGATGGGATTTGATTGGAACATAAAGGGTGTGGGGGTGGTGAATTGAGAATTTATGGTTCTTGGGGTTGGTAGGTTTGTGGTTTAAGGCTTAGGGCTGTGAGTGTGGGATGGGATTAAATGAATTTTTTTTACCAGGTCTGCATAGTTGTAGTTTGGTGGCTGAATGGGAAGAATTTCTGAGATGGGAACGGGGATGGATTTTGCTTGTTTGAGGTGGATGATTCTTTTCGAGGGGAGAAGGGGAGCTCTTGTGGGCTTAAGGTGTGGAATATGAAATCAGTATGCAACGGTGAGGTGTATAAACTCTGAGAACAATCAATAAGTCCAATTGAACAAGATGTTTTCAGCAATTCCAAGAACATCTTTGAGGATTTATATAATAACTTGCTACAGATTGAATAAGGAGATGTTTACTTTCAAGAGGGTTGGATGGATTGGAGTTGATTATGTTTTTTGTCAAGTTGGGAGGTAATTAATTTGGCTAGAAATCTATGATTGGTAGGAAGGATTTCTCTAATTGAGTTTCGAACTCATACCATCATCCTTCGATATCTCCTAATGATCCTTGAGTCAGATATAGGCGATGTCTATCGACCGTGATATTAAAAGATCTACGGATAGACAAAAAATCGAGATCCTGAGGCCCTCCGCCAATCATGGCTAGCAGAGCCTAGAAGATTGTCTTGGACCACAAATATCGAACATCACATACAAGTGTTGATTTCAATGTTCATGCGCTTCAATCCATGCAAGGATCAATAACGGTATGTAGGTATCTTACGAAGCCGGGGGCCTCATTCTTAGTGAATCCATATGTGTAAATACCTACTGTACGGCTACTGTACGGCTACTGTACGGCTACACTTGAGAGACATCGTTAGTTACGGTAATCTCGCTCAAGGGGGTTGTTGTATTGGAAATGCATTTGTTTGGTATATAAGGGAGCTGGATCACTGCCCTAATTTGCTTCTTCTATCCTCGTTACTTTATCTTCTTCACTTCAAGATTACAATCTCAATCTCAATAACAATCACATTGATTAAGTCAAACGATAGAGAACTCTCTGTAAGATCTTTGAACCTTCAGAGTTATCTTCTATACTTCGACCAAAGAAACATACACTCAACACTTCTTTACCAATACACATATCAAATCAGACATATCCACTCAGTAATCATGGGATCCAAAAACAGACGTGCCGCCCCAGCCGCCCCCGGCGAACTCATCCCCAAACACCCTTCCGAGATCACAGCCCACCCCAACATTGTCCTCACAGGCAACATCCTCACTCTCACAATCGACTACTGCGCACCCGGCAGCCCGATCGAAAAATCCACCTCGATGGAATCTCTCCTCTCCATCCTCCCCGACTACGCACCCTATGTCAAGATCCTGCAACTCAGCATCCATGCTGGAATTCCCCACATGGAACCTCCCAGCGTCTATATTTCTCATGTTGCGGATGTGAAATCAATTGTTGGGGTGGTTAATAAGTTTAAGAAGTTGGAGCAAGTGAGAGTTAGGATGTTGATCGATTATTGCAGTTTCCCGCAGATGAAGTTGGCGGCTGCGATGTTTGGTTTGAGACAGGATGTCCAGCGCATTTTGCAGTATGTGGTTAAGGGGGAGGGACCGGTCAAGGTGGAGCAGGAGGATGATACGATGAGAAGATTGAATGGGGTTTGGAGAAAGGAGTTTTTGTGAGGAGTGGATGTGTTTGGGTGGTGTGGAGAATTGATGGTGAGGGGAAGATAGTGTTGTAAGGTGGGATTGTTAGGAGATGTGATCCTCACTCTTGATCTTTGGTGCTGGTTCTTAGGGAAATATGGGGCTACTGGGAAGTTAGCGGGTATTCATTTGTGCATAGCGGTATTTTATGGCTTTGTGTCGTTGAAATATGGATGTACCTTTTTAGCAGAGAGTTTAGGAATATACTTCCAATGAATACACTTACATCATGATATAAGGTTATATGCTAAAGATACAGAAATGCAAACCAGTCTGTCTTATTAGTATGCTTTGATGTGAATGTATACTTTCTCTCTATCTCCCCTTTGAAGTGTATAAACTCGTGGAGACTCGAGAGCGTGGAGAGAATATATATGCAAACTACTTCATTTAGCGACAATACAACATATGCACAAGAGAGTGAAGATCCCAAATAGATAGTAAGGTGTGTGAGATATAGTATGATTTATTCTAGGCAAGTATTGTAAAATACAAAACCATATGTTTCTAGTCCGCTCCTTTCTTGAACTTGCTAACATAGATAGCACAAAGAAAGACATCGCAGAACCAAACAAAAGCATTCTCGTCCTTTTCTACTCCCCCATACTTATATCTGGTAATCCCCCATGGCCTCATTACCTCTTACTCCACAATCATCTCCAATCCTCCCGACCCGGAAACCCGCCTCGAATAAACCTCCAACAACTCCCTCATAAAACAACACTCAGCATCAACCTCCCACTTTCCATGTCCCTCAACCGCAAACGCCAAACTCCATTTTATTCTCTCCAATCCGAATAATCCACCCAAAAAATACAGATCCTCGCATTTCGATTCCTGGGGTTTAAGTAATATAGTCATGTGAAGCTCTTTTACTTTATCGAAGTCGTTTAAGATGTTGATGATAGTTTTGAAATCGGAGATGTGGGACTGAGAAGGCTTTATAGACCATGAGTCGGGATCTTTTTGGGGAGGAGGAGGTAGAATAGAAATTTTGATGTGGTGAGCCCAGAGCGCGTAGTCGGGGAGAATGTTGGCGAGATTTCTCATCAGGGAGGGGATTTGGAGGGGGGTGGGGTGGAGATCTATGGAGAGGGTTAGGACGCCACCCCAGAATGATATGTGAGGATGGTATTGTATTTTATCAAGGGGTTTTAGAGGACGCGAATTTTCGTCGTTCATTGTGAGGGATTTTGACGATGGGGTAATTGTGCGTGGTGGTGATTGGCTGCTTTTCTTCCGGACCTTCGATTAGCGATTTGTTCAGTATCGAATGTCGAGGGGGGAGGGATGGTTTCTCTATACCCAGTTTCTCTATACACAGTAAGAGCAGAATAGCTTTGTATCCAATGGGTTATTCTATGGAGATGCGAGACTGTTCATGATGCCGCCGTTCCAATGACCGTAATGAGTTTTCACTGATACGGGTTTTGACCTGGCTATTACACTAGGAGGTACCGTCTGAGATCCCTGGATAGGTGCCGTAGATTTCATGTTTACAAACATTTCTCGGGTTCAAATCTAGAAATTTAAACAGCGCAGCAGCCGTATATTATAAAGATACATCAGCATGATAAAGAAAATATGGTGAGTAGACGGTAAAGTTTGCCAGCAGTTGTGTCATATTCTTTCTCAACATTATTTCCTCGTTATTCTCTGCTGTACACTTCATTATTGAGATGATCCCCATGGTACCTTTATTACGAAAACTATGCACTGCCTATGGAGGAGTCTCGCTGACATGTTTTGCGGCAGAGTTTTGCAGTAATTCATACGGTTTTGACTCTTCGATCCCTAATGAGTTCTAACCAAACTCATCTCTACTCTGCCTAATCAAAAATTCACCCCTTTATCGTACCTCGCTGATATGAGATTGAAAGGGGGAGTTTGGCAGCAGTACTGTTCCGCCTGTAAAATATAGAGCCGTATAAAGTGAATTCTACCCTAATCTTTCTAACAGTATTAAAAATAGCCATATGGGAGAAAAAATTGCGCCAGTACTTGTACGATGAGGTCGTCGTATTATCATTTACTTCTCACATCCAGGTTAAAACTCCCGACAGCAAATACATCGAATTCTAATCACCTTCATCAAATTTGAGAACAGAACAGACTTTCGACGATCCACGCTTTTAATCATCTCGTCAAAGATATGAATAACTTCCTCCAATCTCTTCACGATAACCTCACCAGAATGCCCCGATTCATTCCTCTTCCTATAGACTGGTCTACACACAACACAGTTGATGTCCCGTCTTTAAAACAGAATGTTCACTGCAAACATGAAGCACCGGAGGGTTGCACCTGCGAATTCTGCAACAGCGATGAGAATTATAACGTCAGATGGAGAAGTCAAATCGGCGATACCAACCCTGATGAAGCCACCCGAGAGTGGTTCACTCCAACATCCCCACTCCCTGGACCAACACCGAATAAAGAATGGCATACCAAATCCAACAAGATCTTGAGTCTTTCCATCAATTATTCCGGGGATCAACAAACAGATATGTCCATCATTATTCGCCAGCTCCAGAGCCCAACATACACTTCGTGGACTGGCATTCTCGAACTCATCATCTACCCTGGAGTTTCCCGCAAAGAGGCGCCTCGGGCCTACATCAATCACGTCCAGGAAATAAAGAACTTGGTTCAACAAATCAATATTTCTCTCACTCAAGTTCATAAAATCCGCTGTCAATTCGTCATCGATCACTTTAGTTTTTCGCAGTTGAGATTAGCGGCTGGATTCATCAATCTCGATAATGACAACTGGACTTTGGCGTATATCGAAAGAAGCGAAGGGGATAAAGTTATTGAAATTCATAAGAGGGATTCGGGTTTTAGGAGAATCGAAAGTGCTTATAGGGAGGATTTTGCAAACTAGATGGGTAGTTAGGCGTGGCTTGGGTCATGATTCCTGTGCACGATAGAAAGAGTATCAAAGTAAGGGTATTGGTCGATGGCGGCTTTTTGTGAGGTGATTGTTGGATAATGAGGAGCATGTCTTGCGAGTAACAAGGGGGTCTAGTAGTAGCTGCTACATACGCGGGGTGTGAAGTAAAAGGGAGAGTAGACTGATGAAAATTCACCTACCATGAGTAATAAGAGTCGTTTCAACTCCAGTTTTTTTCTCAAATATTAATAATTTATCATAATGCATGGCTCAATTTTCTGTTCATGTTTCCGTGCCACTTCTTATACTCGGCTCTTTCTCTAATCTCCCTGCTGCTTGACGTAACTTAAATGTTGAACCTTCCATTCGTGGTATCATTGAGCACAAATCATAATTAGTACTTCTATGTTAATGGGAAAAACGTTTTAATAGTGCCGTTTCGGTATTAGTTGTAAGAATACAACATCTTATCTAGAGCTCTGAGAGCAATTTGGTCAGTAGAATCTCCACTGACATTTAGATTCTGTTGATTGAGCATTTGACGAGTTTCTGCCTAGCTAATATTATGCTTCCTCTGGGCTTCTGTAATTTTTTAATTCGGAACTTTATGTGTGCAATTAACACAGGCGTAAATAGACTACATGCTATTCTTACTGATTAGATGTTTCCTTTAGATTTTGCAGCTCGAGCTTGATCGAATGGGTTGATCCCCATATAGCTACCCTCGATCCATTGTGAAGTCTATCTTGTGGGTCCATGTGGAGGTAGTCAGTTTCTTTAATTTGTTAGTTCCAAAATCTCTTTGTGCAGATACGTACTCAGTTGTCTCTTTGTGTTGATGAAGGACTCCTTTGTATGATTAGACAATAAAATACTTAGTTTCATTGTTTGGGAGTATCATAGATAAAGGTTGGGATCTAGAACAAGATAAATTTTAACAGCTCAATAACGGCAGTCTAAGGACCTTTCTTCTCTTCAGCGGTTTCTAAGAATGTTCTCGAATATGATTATAGATATTAATCTGACAATACTCTTTCTGAGTACTAGATGGGTTAGCTTTGATTCAATAACATTGTTTCAACAGTATTTTTCTCGGAAGATTTGCTAATGATCGATTAGTTTTCAAGTGTTCTGTGTTCACGGGGAAGGATTGGTTATTTACTCACTTATTGTTAGTCACTTTGAATTACTCGTATTGTATGTTGAATGAATCTGCATTTATCGATTTCGTTAGGCATAGCAGTCTGATGATCTGTGTTGAACAGAACATCTTCTGCTAATCTGTGTTCGACAGAGTTGAGTGATCCCAAACCTTCAGAATTTATCCATTCTGAGGGGCTTGGATGATCCTGTCATTGTCAGTGAAACACCTCACACACTCAACTTGCGTCCTCGATCTCGGATTTCACTCGGTCTCGGGGTCGGAAGAAACGTAGCCGAAGAGGTCGAGCTCTTCGAATTGGGATCGCGAATCCTCCTCCTTGGGATCCCAGTTCCCCCCGAGGGGCAGGGTGGGGCGGTGTTGGATGCTAGGACGTCCTTCGAGAGTAGCGAGTGTGTTCGCTCGATTTTGATCCTGTTGGGTAGCTTCGCGACGCTGGGTTTCTTGGTGGACAGCCCTGAGGAGAAGACGAGCTTGTTCACGACGCCAGTCACTGGTGGTCTCCAAAGGTGCGAGTTGTTCTTGCGAGAGGATTTCTTGTCTGAGGATCTCATCGTTGTGGCGAGCTTCGAAATCGGGTTCCTCGGGTTGGGAGCTGTCTGGGCTTGGATCTGGGAGTTCGTCCACCCATCCTACGTATTTGTCCGATTTGAAGGTAGCAGTGACCTCGCGGGCACAAGCTGGGCACTTCAATCTGGAATAGCGCATGTTGGGTTTGGCAGCTCCTAGGGTGAGAGCACGCTTCAATCCTTTCTTGACTTTCCCAGTCAAAGCGCGTGTCAATGACCTCTTGAGCTCTTGCGAAGGCTCCTCGCTTGCTTGTCGGGTTGCTGCTTCTTTTTCCACAACATGTCCGCACGTATACTTGGTGTTGGTGTATGAAGTAGACATGATGATAAGTTATGTGTTGAAAGCTGGAGTTTTGCTTGTTGTTGTTGTGTGTGTGTGTGTGTGTGTGTGTGTGTGTGTGTGAAAGCAGCTGAAGAATTATAAAACAATCAATACAACTAAGAAGTATATATACTCATTCTGAGATACATGTTGGGATATTGTTCAGATGTTTTTCAGATGTTGTGTGTTTTGTAAATGGTAGAATAGGCTAGTCAGAACTACTTGTTCTCGAAACAAATGTGGAGAACAACGCCGCTCATATGGAGATGGCCTTTTTTGAGGAGTGACATAGAGCATTTGGGTACTCTATGCTGTTGCCCAATTATTAAATCTGGAATTAGTATGTCTAATGGCATACTCACTATGAAAATTATTGGTATTGAAGGAGGCTACGTACTATAAAGTTTTGGGCTATTTCAGAGTAGAAGATATCTTTCAGAGCTACATTCATTATGTAGTGCAAGAGTTCGGTCCATCTCATGTCTAAAATTTATTAAATAGGTATCATCGAGACTTTAGTAGATTCATGATCTTGTTTCATCTTTATATGGCTCTTTATAACGGTTCCAAATGTCTCTCTATGGCCTGTACGATTAAACATTCCATTGGTCGAAGCTATTATCTGGGGGAGGATAATTATTTAATTGGATCTAGTTACTTCTGAGAAATCTATTGACATTTCTAGAATTTGGCGTTCTAAAAATAGTTTTGCCGATGGAGTTACTTGTAATTGGTTTTTTTATAGGGTAGGTAATAATGGAGATTTTGCGGTTGGACAACAAATAACTCAACGGCTACGGCAGTAATATGTTGCTGTGATCCAACGAATTCTAGATCTATCCTCACTTATTTGATGTAATCTTTTCTGGCGACTATAAAATTTCTTCTTTTGTGCGTGTGAAATCTTGCTTTCTCCTACTTTGTTCATTCTCAAGAGCAATTTACGGAGATCGGTATTTGACTCAAGTGAACCTACTGGCAAGTCAGATCCCTTCGTAAAATAGATATCACTTAGTCTCATAATGCTAAAGATTCTCTCAGGAGCCATGGCAAACAAGAATACTCAAGCTAAGAAGGCCAATCTTCCTCCAATACTTCCCGAGCCACCTTCATTTGTCGAAGAACACGAGTCGCTCTATTGGTTAGAAGGTACACAATCCTTGCAAATAACCATCGCATACAACGAAGACAACACACAGGAAGAGACTGCTACTTATATGGCTATCTTGACTGACCGTGTAGTTGGATATGGTCCATGGGCAGCTAAAATCGACCTTCTTATCCACCCACGAATCATTCGCCGCTGGGAAAGCCCTAGCATATACACGCAACATGTTTCTGAGATGATGTCTTTAGTCGACAAAATCAACGACTCCTTCACTAATCTTAGCCATATCAATGTCCGACTCGAGTTAGACTTTTCCAACTTCCAGCAAATTAAATTAGCAGCTTGCTTCTTAGCTTTCAAGGTGCACTGGAGTTTGAGCTACTACGTTGAAGACAGACCTGTTCTTTTCGGAATCAACACAGAAGGCTACCTCATGAGGCGCCTGCGTGGTGTCTACCACAGAGATTGTAGGGTATAAATGATTATGATGAGGGGGCATATCGTTGAAGGAGTTTGAGTATTTGAGGGGGATTGCCATCGAGCTAGAAGCAAGATGTCTTTTGCCTCGACTTATATTCTTTTGGGAATCGGCTTGGGCTTCATAGAATCGGCGGAATGGCGGGGCAAATTTGTAAATTTTTACGAGCTTAGGAAGAATTTCAACAGTTTGTCATGAAAATTGGGAAAATATTGTGTCTTCTTTAGTGCAATTCTGTTGATATGTATTAGCATTTACCATGTGGCACTATATTAACACATCTACCACCTCTCTTTAATTCTTAGATAACGGGTGTATCTCTGATGATTTAGGGTTGCTAGGTGATGGATTGTTTGACCGTGAACTTTAATACTTTCTACGTACTTTCTACGCAGCTCTTCGACCACCTAAATCCCCAAGCTAACAAGGAGTCGTTAGAGACTCTCTTCAACAGAAACCTAGATAATCAAGGCTCAAGGATACGCAAGAAACTCTTTCCAATAGAGGCAGTAATACTTCTGTCGGTAAATCCATCTGTTGTGTTCCTAACAAAGACCTGTAAAAACCCACAAAGAATGCTCCACGAAAACAAAGGGAAGAGTTAGAATGGGATAGAAGAGGTAGTAGCATAGTCCAAACAATAGATTATTCTTTGAGCAGTCAACAAGGACCAAGAGTAACAAGGTAGTAATACTTTTTGAACAATTACATTGTCAAGTAACTCATGGTACAAATACCGTGTGATCGTCATGACTTTACAGATTATCAAACAGCACTACTCCGCAGTATCAAATATCACCAACTATAATTTCAGTCAGCAATTCCGATTCAATTCTACATTATGTCGTCTTCCCACAAGGATTGGTCAATGTTCAACATGGGTTGGTCTTTCCAGATTGGCTCTACTAGAGAAAACATCGAGCCTATTGACCCACTTCAAACAACATCAGAATCTCAGCAAAAATGTAGCAACCAGATTAGCAAGGAAAAGGTAAAGCAGATCGGGAGAGATCAGACTAGCAAAGATCGAGCAATGCTCCATCCCCACCCAGCAGTCAAGCTCTTTGGCCAAATGTTGATTGTTAAAGTCAATTTCCATCCCAAAATTGGTCAGGAGTCTACACACGTTCCAACTCTGATGGAAGTACTCCCAGAGTATGACAACTTCACACGCTTTATTCATATCAGATTCCACGACGAACTTTCAGAGACAGACACTGACGAGGGTTATCAATGCAGAGAGACCATCCAAAGTATCATGTCTATGTTAAACGATTTCCAGGACATCAGGCGTTTCACTGCCGTGAGGACGGGTCGACAAGCATAGTTTTACTTAGGTGATATTGGTTCTTACACGTGAGCTCTTGAATGTTTCGAATAAAATCACTAGCTTGACTTCAGACATCGGATGCTTGTTTTAAATTTTCAATAATATTCCATTTTTCAATATATAACAATTTTAACTCTACATATGAATGTGATGTACCTCATTTGCCATAATTATGAATTCTATAAAACGAATCCAAATCACGTCTTCAAGTAGAATTTTCTATGAGGCCCGACCCTCGTGGATTTAGCCTCCAAGTCTTGAATGCCTAATCTCTCCAAGCCACAAGATGGTTTTTTTTATCTTCGTCTCCAAATTACATAATCTCAAGAGTGATGAATAAACTACAGTATTGAGCTGATATCGGCTCGCTTATAGGCTTGTCTATTGAAATTCACTTGAAACCCCCTGCCGTACTATAAACCATTTTAATTAAGCGAACTGGTTATTCACCATAGCACATTCAACTCCTTGAGTTCTAGTAGGGAACTCTGCTGTATAATATCATATTCTGGCCGTAATGCTGCACATACAGATGGTACTAGACACTAGTCGCAGTCGATTGTTTTGGAGAAAGGCTACTTAAGGGTTCTTCTGTTCTGGAGAAACAATTCCTTCTTCCTTGCTACATCTCCTCACAACACCTTTCTTTGATTGACAATCCCCAAAGTTCAACAAAAAGTCAACAATTCTTCATTTTAGACTTCTTCAATAGTCTCTAAATTCGTTCTTATTCAGATTTACCAAACTTATCAATCACTCAACTCGTCATAATTCAAAATGGGAAGCAAAACCCCCATCAGTGACGCAACTCTGGCTATGCGCCCCTCTACTACTGCTTTCTTCGAGAAGAAGAAGGTCGCCGGTAATGTAATTCCAGCCATGCAGCCTCTTGTTGCATCTTCTCTCAACAAGAACAAGACCATCAATAACGCAGCTCCTGCTATGCGTCCATCAGCCGCAGCCTTTTTCAAGAAGGATAAGACCGCCAATCCTTTCCTCGCCGCTGCGGCTAAGCACAAGCCTCAGCCGATCGTCGATCTCGATACATTGACCCAGAATCCGGCAATTGCCATCATTAGCAACAAGGAAATCACAATCTACATTGAGATGTGTGGATTCATGGATGATGCACCCACCGATATGGTGGCTCTTTGTGCCGCCTTGACGGAGTATAAGACGATCAAGAAATTGTCCATCAAGATTCATGCTCCATGGCCTCACACCCAGTCCAAGGAGGCCTACAACAACAGCGTTAGCTCTATGAAGAAGCTATTCGCCATTATCGATGGCTTCAATTTATACAAGCTCAGAGTTACGATGTCCATTGATAAGGATAACTTTCCCCAGATGAAGTTGGGCGCTGCAATTCACGGATTGAGATTCAGTAAGTTCTAACAGGCTTCTATTGACAGACATATACTAATACATGCACAGAGAAGTGGCAGTTGTTCTACCAGGTTTACAATGAGGTTAATGAGATTGACGATGATCCAATTCAAATCTTCCGCGGTAGCGAGTATGATTTGAGACTTCGTGGTGTCTGGAAGAAGGAATTTCTCGCTCAGGCATAGATCACAGATGGTATTACCAGGCCTTAAATGGGGCGGGGGCAGTTTTGGTGTTTCGGGTGGGGATTGGAATAATTATTAGTGTTTCGGAATGACTGCGTTGTGCTTTTGGCGGAAGCTCTTTGCTACTTTGTTTGTTTTGTTTGTCACAGATTTAGGGCCCTCTGGGTTGCTCTTTGACACTGATAAGGGCCGCTCAACAGGTAATAGCTTCTTATAGCAAACTGACAGACGTTAATGAAATTTTCTGGCTACAAAGCCATATTTCTCTACCTGCCAAAAATTTTTTAAATCTGAAAGTGCTTGTATTTGTAAAACCATAAGTGTATTTCGAAGCTTGAATGCAAACCCAATGACACAGGATATGGTCACTACTACTTTTGCTTATACATCCTATAATTGGACGCAGCGCGGACATCTCTACCCAAAACAGATTTATAAGAAACAACGACTCGGTTATCTAAAACATCGAACTTCATCTGATGAAAACACAACTTCCATTTAATATTCTGATGCGATTTTAGTTATTCTTCGTCCCATTCTTCTAATTGCTAGACTCAGCATACTCAGGGTAATTGGTTGGTTTTGCTTTGGTTTGTCATGTCCAAATGCTTGTATTGAAAGGCAATAGATAAACCACAGACTGAACCAAAAGTTATACGTCTAACATGCCACCCTTCAGGAGGTAAGCGAATCATCAGGTTTGCAGGCAATTGCTATCGACCCCATGCGGTAAGAAGCATGATCATAGAGCACTAGAGTACAAGAATGCAATTTTATGGGCACAAACAGGCATACCACTAAAACCATATATATCATCCATGTCAGATAGGCAAGATATATCTTATTAGGTGATGAGATCATATTATTTATGTACAAGAGATTATGTAAAATTAATAAATTTGTGCTCGTAAAAGATACAATTGAAACGCATTGATTCTATTGAATGCCCAAAGAGGAATAACAATGATGTCACCGCTGACCGTGTACATGTATTCTGTTAATCACAGTGAATATAACTAAAGGCGAGTCCAAGCAACTTTAACACTTGTTAATCTGGCCGTACCTCCTATTACAGGCTGACAATCAATCGTGTTTCTTTTGCCTCGCTTAAGGTGCTACACTACAGTTACCCATCGCCACCAGACGCTAGCGGCTGACCGTACAGACGGAATTTGAACTCTTAAGGAACTGACGTTCTCTCCCCAAAAACTCCTTTCTACTTACAACATCATCTTCTGATTAATCATCACTTGACTTCTTCGATTCCAACATCACAACTTTCGATCATCCTATCTCAAACACATATCAAACTCCTTACCCTACCAATACTTCTTCTTCTCATCATCATGGGAAACAAAAACGCTCGAGGAAATGCGGCTCAAGCCCGACCATCTGCTGCCTTTTTCGCAGAGATTGCCGAGAAGCAAAAGATCGCATCCGATGCTGCAAAGGCTCTTGCAGCTATACCTTTCGACATGAATACACTGCCCGCTCACCCCGCCATTACGATTCTCGGTGACAAGGAGATTGGCATCCGAATTGTCAACGGCACAGATATGACAACGCTCCTCCAAGTCTTGCCTCACTACGAGGCTCATGTCACAAAGATGGCAATCGAAATTCACACCCCTACACCTCACTTTGAGGTTCGTGAAAAGGTCGTCAATCGACTCGAAAAGATGAAGACCTTCTATGCCATCATCAACAAGTTTAGATGGACCCATCTTGATGTCAACATGTACCTTGACGCCTACAACTTTCCTCAAATGAAGCTGGCTGCAGGCTTGTGGGGCTTGACGCGCAAGAACTGGAAGCTAACCTACGAGGTCCGCGGATTCGAAGGTGACTACGTGAAAGTCACTGATTATTCTGAGTTCGGCCGTAGATTGTCGGGTGTCTACAAGACTGAGTTTCTCAATCAACCAAAGTCGCCTCGATCAAAGCCTGCCCAACCAAAATTGGCTCAATCCCAACCAAAGTAGATCCTGTTGTTGGTGGAAGTCAATCAATCATCGATGATTCGTGCCGATGCCAGCTCGAAAGTCTTTGGGATATGATTTGTAGAGATCGGGTGTAGTAACGACAGGAAATATCCTTGACGGCTCTTAACTTTTGCGAACTGGCCTCAACCAAGACTGCTTGGCAACAAGTCTAGAGGAAGCTTCTTCACCAAGACACGTTTTGGTATACAGTTGATGGGTTGCTGAATTACAAGCACATGGCAGGAATGCCTTTTCTTATCTTTTATTAGTTAGTTTTCAGTATAATAAATGAACTGTAACTTGCGGAGAGTGACATCAGATTCTCTGCAACAGTACACCAAAAAAATTATAAAAATTCTTCCACATCTATTCAGTCTTGACCTATCTGCAATGTGAAAATTCGTCATACATCGTGAGATAACAAAGCAGCATCATCATGGCACTTTTAACAATCTGCAACAAGTTTGAGCATAATAATAAGATGAGCTCACTGGTGCTCTAATGATCCAATGGGTAGGATTGAAGCAATTCTTGAAGAAAGAGGCATTGACAAAACCATGCAACGAGTGGCAGCAAACCCCAAGGTCTGGGAATAATCTGATGAGTGCATACGGTAATAGGATATCATACAATTCAAGCATAAATCACTTGCTACCAGAAATTCCTCTGACTCGCAGATGATCCCCCTTTCCATGAACTAGATGGATGAAAGGAGTCATCTCATATAAACCACGTGACCATAACTGAATAGATGATCTTTCACGCCCAGCTCCCTCTGAGCTATTGATATCCCGGTTTTGATTATAAGATGACGAATTTGTTGAGCAAACAACAAGTCATCGTGATATGATGGTTACTTAACCAAATGGCAGCTGATCCACGTGATGGGTTGGTTTCAATCCACAGCCTTTGTCGACCACGACTTGATTTTTGATTGCAGGTTGCAATGTAATAGTTGACCTTATCGGAACACCATCAGAATCCAGCTTCCAAGAAGGGTATTTAGATATCAAGGGTATAGATAGATATTGCCTTGTTCAATCTCAACTTTACCTCCATCGCCAGCGAGAAAGCCTTGCAAGCCCCAAATTCGAGTGGACTGGAGTTACTCCAAAGAAGGAAGTCTGGAGGCATAGTTACTCAAATCCATCCCACGAGTATGCTATTTTGTATCTTTCGGAGCAGCAGTTCTGTTGCGTTGAATCCATTGATCGCGTTGAAAATTGTTTCTCGTGTGAGGTTTGAAGCGTGGTGGGGAGAGTATTTTGGTGGAATCACGTGAACTTGGACTTGGTAGACCCTCTGTGAGAGTTGTGATGTACTTTCACAATGATCACCTTGCAAGTCTTGTTATCTCAAGCCACTGGAACTTTCTTATTACTTGAGTAGTTAAAGTATGGAATGTGGCTCATCTACTTTTCTCTTCATCCTTCCAAAAATGTGAAGGCACCCAGCCTTTGACATCCAAAACTCACTTTAAACCACGCCGACATCTTGGTCAATTTTAGCATTCTATCTTCCAAGTGGAATATTGAAGTTTAGCCAGCCAATCTAAAATATCTTTCCATTACCAGAATCCCATCCCTTAACTTAAGAAATGCAATTTATCCCGAAATCCTTATAACCTTACTTTCCCTTTCATCCTTTCTGTCATATGCAGCAACAGCATTCACAACATTCACAACAGCATACACCGCCCACGATTGCAGTACTATTTTCACAAGATTTTAGTATGGAACGGTCTCTTGTTTACCAATAGCGGAAAATCGCAAGAACTTACTTTCTTCCTGTATGAGAATGATGATGTCGATTATGACGTCCACCTCCTCTTAAGTTTACTGGAGATTCGGATCCTGGTGATAGAGTCATCTCGTTGATTAGTTTCTAGGGGGGAAAATAGTCAGTGACTCCCAGAAAATATGAGAAGAGGGATTTGGACGAACTGGTTGTTCGGTGTGGATAGGAGACGGGATTTGTGGTAGTGTCATTGATGCAGGTGAATCAGGAAGTGGCGGTTGTTTCGAATCAGATTGTGATGTCATGGTGAACATTAGTATTTTGGAAAGCTATTCAGATATCTTGGGATGAGTGGAGATGGGGAAGTAGTTTGGTGATATAATTACAAAGCCACAATGACTGCAAATTATTTGGTATGATGAAAAAATAAGTGTCTAGCAAGGAGAATCCACAATTGAAGCCAAGAGACACATGAGTTTCTTGAGGTCTTAAATGAAAGCGTGGTGACTGCCAACCATCCATAGCCGCTGGGCTCGTCGGCAGTGCTTCCAACTGTCAGATTACTAGCCAATGATGAGTATTCGATGATTTGTATTTTCCGCGGGCTTTGGAGGATTGTTGAAATTGTTCGCGCTTGGTTACCACCATGCTGATAATAGTTCTGTTCAATCTTGCAGATATAGGCAGACACATACCTGTCTCAAGCTCTGACTTCCATTACCGCAGGATTGCGTTGGCAGATTGGCGACCCAAAAGCTTTGTTAGCGCTTACGTGCCTATCAGAGAAAGGAGGGGAAAAGTACTGGATCAAACTTTTGATCAATAACCCAGAACAGAATCGCAAGATTCTAGAGCTGAGGTGAGTACCCAAGGTTCTTCAAGAGTTTGCAATAGACTGGCCTGTATTCTGGCAATGAGATGGAAACAATTCCTAGATTTCAATAAGGTAATTCAAATGGCTAGAAAAACTGAGTTAATGTTTGAATATAAAGCAATCTATGAGATAGAGATTATCCTATGAATCTAGCATTCGCTCGACATCTCCATTCTCTCAATCTGGTAATAACTACATTCACTACATTCGTACCCATGATTGACAGCGCCACTATCAACTTCTTCCTCTGTAGGTTTGACCTGCAAATCATCCTCACCGTACCTTTGATCGTATCTTTTCCCGGGACTTTCAAACCCTCTCAAATGACCAATGCGTTCCGCTATTCTCTCCGCTAGCCCCCATACCCTCACCCTATTCCTCACTCCCAAGTTACTTTTCTGCAAAAGTTTGACCCGATCATAAACTAGCTTCCAGACAAAACTTGGTGGTTTCATAGCGACACAATCTTTCATAAATTGCACATACTCAAAATCGTCTTTTTCGCTCAGTCCTGCGAGATCTTCTCCATATCGTTCGAGGATCATTTTTCGAAATTGTTCCATTTTGCGTTGTTGAATATGATCGATCTCCCAGAACCATGGAAGCTCCTTCACAAGGAGATGTCTGAACAGCTGGTGGTCAAGTTGACGAAATGCGCGACTTACTAGGCGGAGGTTTGCGATATCCTTAGACCCAAGTTCGTATAATATTGTTTGCTTGAGTTCGATCGGAAGCTTGTTGAAATGATCTGTTGAGTTCACATATGGCTGCAACAAATCTCCATTGAATTGTTTCTTGCGCCAAACAGCCCCCTTGTTCTTACTATAAGGATTCTGGTGTTTGTATGCCTCTAATATCATGAGAGAAAATCCCGGAATATCATGAGGATTGGCTGCAAGAAACTAACAAGATATTAATTTTTATCTTCATATTATCGGGATTGAAAACGCACTTCCGAGCCAGGAACATAATTCCACCACTGCTGTTTACACTCCTTTATTATGGTTTCCTGTTTAATATTTTGGAAACCACAATTTGAGCATGCAGACCTCTAGAGAAATAACAAGTCAACATTGTAAAGTACTATAGTCGATGCCACTTACATGCCAAAGGGCCATGAATCCTTGGAGGTCAACCCTCCCCAATCGAAGTTTTGAAACACGTTCGAAGATTTTCCAGCATGAATCGTGAACTGGGACGGCACGAGGAAATCCGTGTTTGTCTATAACTTCATAGTTCATAGGCAAGAACGAATCGATACCGTAACGGTAACGGGGCAAGTCACCCGGCTGCCAATGATCTTGGGTGGTGATTGACTGATCTGTAATAAAGTAATCACTGCACTTTTCATAATCTGGTGCATCTTCCTCTTCAGAAATGTTTTCTGGTTTCTTAATGATGTAACGAGATAGCGTCATATCCTAAAATCGTGAGTATTGGGAGATTGTCGGAGAAATTTACACCCACCTTCATTTGTGCCACTGAAATACGATATCCGCTGTAGCCCCCATCGAAAACACAATTTGGACCAGCAATATGCTCAGTCAATGGTCCATTTCTGGCAATTTTCTCGCAGCCACTTTCTTCTGATAAATCATAGCAGGTTCTCGCTTCTCTGGCATAATCCATACTAGTTGAATGGCCCCAACCAGCCTCTGGTGGTTCATGTTTTGTGCGGCACCTTGCTAGATTGAATGATACAGCACAGATTTGACAAACGGTCTCGCTATAACCCATCTTTGGATCCAATCAATCCACTGAAGGGAAGGAGAAGATAGAATGTAGAGGATCTAGAGAGAAGGGGGTCTCTTTCTTATGTTGATTTTCTGGTTGTCTTTTCGACGTGATCATCACTCGCCCAAGTATTGATTTGAATACAGTTGCTAGCTCAAAAGGAAATGAAATATCGAGTAGATTGTGCAGCTCATGTCTTATAGTTTTTCGGACTTCGAAAATTGTCTTTTAGTGCCGAATGTTGCCTACACACAACTACGGGAATCTCTTTCGTCGGCATTACCTAGGCACTTGAGCTTGGTATGGAGCATACAATAAAATGCTGCAATTGACATTATTGGTTTATATAAATTATCACAATACAAACAGAAAATATGTCAAAAGATGAGAATGATAGAAAATATGGAAGAAAATCTTTTACAAGATGGAAATGAACTAAAGCGATATCGTTCTGAGAGCTCACAAGCTCAAGATCTATCTTTGCGGAGGGGCAATGGTCAAACTAGGCCCAAGCGTCCCCTAGTTCCAAAGCCTCCCTCGGATATCGACCGACCCCTCCCAACATCTAAACATTCATTCTATAACCACAACGTCTTCAGCAAGGAAACTTATTTGCCTCAATTTTGTACGATTTCCCTCCCAAATAACCTGAGTAGTCCTATAAACCATCGAAAACCATGGCTCTCGAACATGGAAACCCCGCAGATCTCCTTCCTGTCCACTGGAAATCTCAAATCACAGCCTGGTTTGCAGAAGATACCCCCTCCTTCGATTACGGCGGATTCGTCGTTGGTGATAGCGAACGAACTGCAACTCTATATGGAAAATCGCGAGGAATTTTAGCAGGTGTGCCATTTTTCGACGAGGTATTCGCACAAGCTGGATGTTCTGTGAAATGGCATATGAAGGAAGGAACATTAGTCGATCCTGGCGCATCCGGAAAAGTAGCCGTGGCTACTGTCACTGGACCAGTACGAAAACTTTTGCTAGGAGAGAGAGTTGCACTCAATACACTGAGTCGTTGTTCTGGTATTGCGACGAAATCGAGGGATATGGAGGTTTTGGTTAGGAAGGCGGGGTACAAGGGGATTCTCGCTGGAACAAGAAAGACTACACCAGGCTTTAGATTGGTGGAGAAATATGGAATGATTGTTGGAGGCGTAGATGGGCATAGACATGATTTGTCTAGCATGACTATGTTAAAGGATAATCATATTTGGGCTAGGGGTAGTATTACTGATGCGGTCAAGGCTGCGAAGGCGGCTGGTGGGTTTGCGTTAAAGATTGAGGTGGAGGTTGATAGCGAAGAGGGTGCCGATGAAGCTATTGAAGCTGGTGCTGACATCATCATGTTGGACAATTTTTCGGGAGATGGATTGAAGGTTGCTGCGAAGAGCTTAAGGCAGAGGTGGGCTGGGAAGAGGGAGTTCTTACTGGAGTGTAGTGGAGGGCTTACGTCTGAGAATGTGGAAACTTACATCAATAATGGTAGGCTCAATACCTCCCCTTTCTCTTGATCATTACTAATTCATACATACAGATATAGATATCATCTCCACGAGTTCAATACACCAAGGCGTACCTCATGTCGATTTCTCTTTGAAAATTGATCATTAGTCAATAGCATAAGGAAACAAATAAATTAAACTACTCTGCAGGATGCATGGTATATTATCGTCTCATTCATAGCTTTTAATTATGGCCAGACAGTCAATCTCATTGCAGGTACACAAGCAGAAACATCAAGTATTTCAGCTAGAGTGCTAAGGTGGACCGAATGACAGCGCTGAAACTAGCCTGAATGTCCCATCATGATATTATATTCTCAAAGTCAATGGAAGAGGTGGAACTTCCGGGTCGGTATTTACAGCACCCACTACTTCTTATTATATGAGCTTCGCATCTTCTTATAGGATAACATAGCACACTTTTCTCGTCTTTGAAAGGCGTTGCTTTCTACGAAATTTAGATTGGTTACGGATCCAATCTTATGATACTCGATATGCACTACATCAAAATCGTCAGTCGGCACTAAAGTTCAGGTTTGGATAATAACCACTTACTCATAAATAACCTCCGCCCCCTTTCTCATTCCACTACCCACCCACATTCCACAATTGACCTTTGAACAATATCTCTCATCACCTGTCTCCATCTCGATAAATAACCTAAATTTATAACTATTCGGGTCAACTTGATCAGCTAACGCAGGGTCCGCTAGCTGAGCTAATACTTCAGGTGGACCCGTTCTCCAACCATGCGTTTTGATCGCAATATGTGCTGGAGGATCATCATGAGTTCGGAGTAGATAATTCGTTTCTAGACGGGCTGATCCGTCCGGTATTATCAGTTGGCTATCTTGACCTCCAGGCTATGAAACATTAGCTTCGAAAAGGGGAGGGGAAAGGCTGATGTACTAATACGATTCCTGACCCCCATGATCCAGACCACACACCACCTGTAAATGATATCCAATTTCGATGTCCAAATGGTGTTTGGCCAACGGAAATTCGAGGATTTAGGGAAACTGACATACGGAAATCGAGATTTAGATTTGGATTGGGCAGTGATAAATCTGGATGAGGGTATGAAGATGTATTGGAATTGGTCTCGGTTTGGTCACCTCTGCTAATCATCAGCATTTACACCTTTACACCATTTTACGACCTTTTCATATATTTATTTGGGGGTTAAAAATAGAGCCTCAAATTCCTAGAACTTTAAAAGAGTAAAGCCAAATGAAAAATTCCCAGGAATTAGATAAATCAATGTGACTTGGTAGGGTAGCCATTGATGTAGAATAATGCACCAGTGATGTGAAGTGAAATATAACAAGTGCTAAACATATTTCGTGAAACGCTGATAACATACTGAGCAGGAAAGTTCCAATCCCACGTATAGGCCTGATCATCTGCTGTTGAAGTCCATCTCTGAGTCGTCGAATCTTGTATTCTAGCAGTAGGAGTAGAACCCCCTCGGCCTCCATCACTCCTTCGAGAATTACGAGTATTTGGATTGGTACTAGCTCCGAAGTTTCCCCGCGAATTTTGAGGTCCATGTACAGACCAAACGCTTCGTGAAGTTGGAGAATTCATTTCGGATTGAATTTTCAAAAGATTAGTTTCCTGTTGACGTACTTGTGTAGTATTTGATATAGGTGGTAATGGTGGTAATGGTGAAATACGATTTTGGATATAGGTGAAGGAGGAGTGTGCTTGGTTGAGCGAGGTTGAGGTCCTCGGATTCCATTTGAGGGGTATAAACTGGGGCAGGAGTCTCGAGGGAGTGTACTTGTTTGAATTGATCGTGCCTTCCTCGTATGAACAGAGTAGAGTCTAGGTATTTCATGTATAGTTGGATAGACATCTAGCATCGTACACCTCGCATCGTACACCTCGCATCGTACACCTCGCATCGTACACCTCGCATCGTACACCTCGCATCGTACACCTCGCATCGTACACCTCGCTAAAATCCTTAGTTTGATGCTGTACTTACAACGTCTACCTGCAATTTTACATTTATTTAAATTCAACGATATCAATTCACTCAGTTCAACATGTCCGAGGCAATGGTAACAGGTAGATAGTTGGTGGGGGCTGACATAAGCGTGCCAAGTAGTTGTGTCAAATAGTCCGGCTGAAAATCCTTTCGCCCCCGCTATAACGTCCATTATATTCTTGAACAAACACTTCCGGATATCAAACAAAGCAAACACGAGCCCGGTTGGCACAATTGGTTAGCGCGTGGGCCTTTTAAGATAGATTCTATCATATGAAAGCCCAAGGTTGAGAGTTCGAGCCTCTCATCGGGCGTTTGAAATATATTTTTGCAGATTTTTGTTATTTTCCCCCCTCATCTGTAGCCACACGATACACTCATCAGCTCTTCTATTTCCGTGAAGCTGTATTCAATACGAAGTACGCTCGGTACATTCGTTCGATTGTGGATACGAAGGTATACTTCTCCACAACTTTCTTTTGTTCGGAAATTTCTTGAGGAATGTCCCGCTCAGCCTCCACCAGCTAAACCAAACCTCGCTATGACGCGTCATACGGACATTTTTGCTCAGAACGATATCAGATAATAATAATTAGATTTCTTAATATATTTAATCTATACTTTTATCTGATAAATTTTTAAATATATTATTTTAAAATAAATCTAGATTTAAAAGATTTAAAAGATTTAAAAGATTTAAAAGATTTAAAAGATTTAAAAGATTTAAAAGATTTAAAAGATTTAAAAGATTTAAAAGATTTAAAAGATTTAAAAGATTTAAAAGATTTAAAAGATTTAAAAGATTTAAAAGATTTAAAAGATTTAAAAGATTTAAAAGATTTAAAAGATTTAAAAGATTTATATCAAAAAAGATTAGATAAAAATATAAAATCTATTAGATTGAAAATCTTATTAAATAATATATATGAAATTGATTTTAGAATCAGATAATATTATATTAAATAAAAGAAATCGTTCTGAGCAAAAATGTCCGCATGACGCGCCATACCTCGCTAAGCAACATTTTTTCTTAAGAATTTTTTGTATTGCTTTCTTTTCAACTGTCAACGCTTTGAATATCTAAAATGAATGCTTTCCAACATCTAAAAAATCCAAGCCTGCCCGGCTAGCTCAATCGGTAGAGCGTGTGACTCTTATGATTCAATATCTATGAGTTCTTCTGAAATCACAAGGTTGGGGGTTCGACCCCCCCGTTGGGCTCAATTCCCTTCATTAGAAAATCTTTTTGCCTGTATTTTTTGTGATATACTTTTCCCCTCAATGGTACCAACCAAACAAAGACTCTATTCGAGGAGGGAGGGGATTCGGAGTTGCTGCTCACAATATCGTGAACAGAATCAATTTTGATCCCGTCCACCCAGAGAGCTATATAGATAGCAGAGTGAGTAGCTCTCCCTCCTAGCTTAAAAGACCCACGCTCAACCAATTGTGCAAACCGGGCTCGTGTTTGCTTTGTTTGATATCCGGCGGCCCTAGCGGGCCGCCCCGCTCTTTTCAAAAATTCAACTATCTAGAAGCACAAAATGTATACGAACCCAAAAATTGACATTTGATACCAAAAAAAAATGCAAAAAGTTATTCTCTCAGGCGTGAGTCGAACACGCGACATCCAGATTACAATGTACAATTACAGTCTGACGTCATAAACCAACTAGACGACCGAGAGTATTTTCAAGTAGGCTTGAATGGTCACATTTTGTTGTGTTTGTTGAAGTCGGTAAGAGTTTTAAAATATATATACAGTTTTGCGATTGTCGTGGGGCTTTGAGGCGGGGTTTCCACAAAAAGCCATGCTCCCCGCTCTACGTCTATCATAAACTCCATACCTCGGCTTAAGCAATTATATAGTAGCCGCAAAGTACCTAGAGCTAGAAATCTAACATCAAGCATTCATTTTACTATCAAAGTAATCATAGGCTTCATCCCTTTAATCTGTACAGGAGACTTACTCATGAAAATCAGTAAGCTTTTATACTAAAATGTATTTATTACTCGCGTAGAAGCAAATCTTTAATATAAAGTAAATATACGATTCATTTCTCTAGGTTTTATTTTTAGATAACTTTTAGTGAATATAATTTCAAATAAGATATCCGTCAAATAAATCGAACTAGTTGATCTTTAAGAGCAAGGGATTCTATAAAAGTATATCGTATTTCTAGATTAGTTGAGGGAGATATAAGTAGGTGAATATCTATATAACTTATACTAAAGAAGCTATTATAATCCTGATTTTAATAAAATATTCTACTTCTACTCGACTCTTGATTTTATAGATTTGATAAAGTCTAATGAATAGTACGAACGTATTAATATTTCAAAGCGTAGCGAAAAAAACTTATATATAAAATTTTACGGAATTTTCATATAGTATATATAGTGTATATTGATTATATTTTCTATATCTGGAATTCAATTTGTATATAGTTATATAATCTGAATATAGTATAATATTTTTTATTAGTTTAATTGTATAAAGAATTGAAAAAACTAAAAACTAAAAATAAAGAATAACCTTTACTTTCAATCTTTTGATATTAAAGATTTATTAGATATCGAATATTAGGCGCTCCGAAACACTAACGAGCTACCTCGCCCCGAAATAGAATTGGGAAGCATCGAAATTTCTTTCGTACTCGAAACTGATTCTTTATCTCGAATAGTTTTGAGATTCATATCAAAGACTCAAAATTCAAAGAGTAATCTTAACTTCTTACCTTGCAAGGTTACCCCAATTTCAAAATAATTTGCTAATCATGTGAACAGGATCAATTGGTGAAGAAATTCCAGTTATTCAAAGCCTACGGAAAGAAATTATCAATTTTGGTTGACGCTTCCGGTGTTGGTATATTATTATCTCTCAACGCACAGGACGCCATCGAAGTTAGTAACTTGGCCGTCTCCAAATGGTCTAGTGCGATACCAGAAGTACTCGTAGAGATGGCTCGTCGCTTTCCTGACGCTGAAGAGTTTAAGAAGATTAATGGAATCGTGTCGAGCATATTACCCCAACTGGTTACCGACGAGATTGATTCAAAGGAAGCGTTTGAGCCAATTTTGAGTTACATTCTAGAGAACCAGCAGAATCCAATCTACAAGTCACTCATGGGCAGTTTGAAACCCAATCCAAAGTAGCTTGGCCCTTACCACCTGTCACACCAAAAGGAGTAGATCACGAGTCAAAGACAAAGGAACCTAGGAAGTAGTAATCAACAGAAACTCCATATTGGAGTAGATGGATCAAAAGGATAAGAGGTAAATTCAATATTTAATGCTCGGGTGGGGGAAAGATAAAACCGAGCGGGTGAAGGAAGGGAAAGTTAATGCCTTTTAATACTTTGATTTTTTACATCGCAACGCGAGCAAAATCGTTCAATTCAATGAATTTAACTTTGTTTCTCCATTTTATGCTCACTATTGGTGATATTTTTGAACTTTTATGTGACCTTATCAGGCAAGTTTACCTATTAACTAATGTTCTCGAATGATTTAAAATGCTTTGGTTTTGAACCATTCCTCCGTCTTGGGGTTATGTTATCAAATGTACAAATCAATTGTAACCCCAAGGACCCTGAAATATTCATTTGATTGCTTCGAGTTTTAATAAAAAACATATATAACCCCCTCGACGGAGGAATGGTTCAATTGAAGGGGGAGGAAGGTGCAACTTCATACCATCCTCCCCTAAAAATCAACATGTAAATATACAATTTCTTCTCAGATATGAGGACGAAGATGCTTCTACCATCTTGAAATCGTCGTTCAATCATCATCGGAGTTCAAATTCAACATGAGACAGGTCAGCATTAAGGATTTCTTCGTCAAGGATACTCGGATTGAAACTCTACATCTACCAAAGTCAACAGTTACATCGAAGAGTGCTCTTTCAAGCACCTCCATCAGAAAACATACCAGCTCGACATCTCAATCTACCACATCAACAACCTCTCAATCCAAAACATCGAGTAAGAAGTCCCCGATTTCATCTATAAAATCGGCAGATTGTTTGGATGCTGACTGCTATATAGTCTTTGACAGATGGTCTCCGAACCGCTACTTCCTCAGAGATGAGACCACTCAGACTCGTCAACAATACTAGACGGTACCGCAAGGCTAAAAAAGGAACACGTGGCTAGACGCAAGGAACTTAAGGGACAATGGACCGAGGAGAAAAAACAGGAAGAAAAGGACAAACGAAAGATGCGAGACGCGAAACGCGAAACCTGGAGACAAGGAACACCAAAATCAGCTGCGTAGAGAAAAGAGAGAAACTGACCCCGCGTGAAATTGTAAGCGAACAGGGAGAGGAGAGTTCGCGACGCCAAAAGGAAAGAAAATAAAAGGGTGATGCAGAGGCTGTGGAACAGGTTGAGAGAATGAGGTCGTGAGGAATTGTCTGGGGAAATCGTAAGGGGTTTCGTCTCCCTAGGGCTATCGAGGGTTGATAATGAAAAGATATATGATGATATTAAACAATTAAAGAATGAATTTGTTCAAATACAGAAAGTTGAGAAGTGTCCTATCAGTTCATACATCCACTGGTGAGTCAAAGCATATGATTATATAACAAGTT